CATTTACTTCAGGTTTGTACTCTAGTCTGCAACCAGAGTTTTCTGCATAAAGCTCCCATAGTTTCTACTTCCAATCCTAAATAAATGGAAAGAGCATTTTTCTCTGCTATTTGTTCGAGCCAGCAAGAGGACTTAAAATGTAGGTTGTACAACCTAACTGCCTATCTCTCAAAAACTGTAACTCCTTTCTGTGGGTTTTTTCCCTGACTCCCTTTGTTAAGGGCCTATAGAGGTAGGGGCTTTAGTAGTGGTAGATGGGAAGAAGTGACTTGGGTAGGAAGGCATGCTTAAATTGTTCAGAGTGCATCACCTGTCCTGCAGGTGGGTTTGTCCACTGTTTACGGAGAAACCACTTCTAAATATTAAAAGGCAGCTTAGTCTCTGTGCTCATTCTGTACTTTGCTCTGCTGAAACTTTGCTTCTGAAACTACTAATAAACTACTAAGGTGCCAATAGTAAAAGTAGATTTAATGCCAGTGCTGGTCTGGACTCTAGGGGAGTGGGCTGGTAGTAACTCAAGATCACTACCAGTCTTGTACAAGAGGTTTTACATAGGAAAAACCTAGAGGTTTACATAGAGAAAGTATCTCATTAACATTACCAGTCCTCTGTGGCCATTCAGATACTTCTGAAATACTGTTTTGTTAAATAAACTAAAATGATTTGATGAAATCTAAAGTTAGGTTTAAAGCTCTGTAGGGTATGCTGTGTGCCTAATCTTGAAAGATTTACTTTCTTGTAGGTTCCTATATTGTTTTCCAAGAAACAATGACATTTTATGACAAAGAAATACAAAACCTCAACTCTAAAGTTTGTCTGTATTTTGTACTGTTAGTTTGAAATGCCTTTTTTTAATTGCAACTATTGTACCTGTATTTAGATGAAATTACTGCTAGCTTCAGAAGATTTGGCCCTCTGGTAGTAGACTGGCCTCACAAAGCAGAAAGCAAATCCTACTTTCCACCTAAAGGTAAGACAGTGAGCAGCTTTTATATTGTTTGTTGTTCTTTGAATACAGGTTTAGACAAGGCTCATGTATGTGCTAAATCCTAGGACGTGAGGGTTTGCCTTAATGCTACCCTGGTCTTTATCAGGTCATTACTGAGCACTTCTAAATCTGTCTTTCCCAAAGAGAAGGTTGGTACACTGAAACTGTCATTTGGCTGGCCTTCACAGTTTCTTTGCATAACTAATTTTCAGATATCCACTTATGATAGAATCATAGAAGTAGGTTCAGAAGGGACCTTGTAGATCT